GCCCCAGTGTCCTCACTGCCCAGTGTCCTCACTGCCCCCAGTTTCCCACTGCCCCCAGTGTCCCACTGCCCCAGTGTCCTCATTGCCCCCAGGCTCCTCACTGTCTAAAGTGTCCTCACTGCCCCCAGGCTCCTCAGTGTCCCCCAGTGTCCTCACTGGCCCAAGTGTCCTCGCTGCTTTCAGGGTCCCTTTGCCCACACTTCTCATACATTTTGCCACCCCCACGTGTCTTCACTGTTCACAATGTCCCCATAACCCTCACTTCCGCCCTGTCCAGGGTCCTCACTGCCCCCACTGTTCCACTGCCCACACAGTGGTCTCGCTGCCTCCACCCAGCGCCTGAGAGGAGCGGGGTCAGGTGGTAGTGCCCTGCTGCTCTCAGCGCTGGTGGGAATGAGTGGGCGTGTTGGTGTTTTCGGTTTGGGAAGTACCCTTCGAGCACCCCCAGGTCAGGTGGGTCAGATATCTACGACTACTAATAAGATTTTATTCACACTGAAGAGGGAGTGGGGGTGGGGTGGACTCTGTAGTTGCGCCCTCACCTCCCCAGACCTGGAAGGCTTCAGCTGGTTTTGCCAAAAATGGGGAGGTCAGTAGTGTCTGGCCAGTGAATCCCTGCCTGCAGACAGGAGGTGGTGTCTCTGGGATTGCATAGGTGCCCAGGATGAGAGTTGGGCAGGGTCCCAAGGAATTTGCCGGCTGGCTGGCTCAGGACGCGCTTCCACTGGCTCCTTCGTCCACCAGCTGGGCGCTCAGCGACAGGTCGGCCAGGGCTTGGGCGCGGGCGCGGGTGCGCAGCCTCCGCAGACGGGACAGCAGCAGCACCAGCAGCAGCGCATGCAGCAGCCCCAGGAACAGCAGCGCCAGCTGGGCCACGAGCGCCCCACGGCAGAGCGCGCCGGGCGCGCAGGCGGCGCGTAGCTCTTCCTCCGCCAGGTAGAGCAGCAGGCGACCCCGCAGCGCCGGCGGCGCGGCACAGCGCAGGTCGCGGTACGGCGTGCGCTCCGGCCGGCCGGCCAGCCAGGCGCGCAGCGGCAGGAGGCGGCAATCGCAGCGCCAGGGGTTGGCGCTCAGGTACGCGGTGCGCAGCGAGGGCAGCACATCCAGCAGCCCTGGTGGCAGCGCAGTGAGGTTGTTGCCCGTGAGCACCAGTTCGGTGGTGCCAGGCGGGAAGGCGGCTGGCAGCAAGGCCCAGGTCAGCCCGCTGCGCCCGCAGTCCACACGCGTCCCCGCGCAGCGACACGGCGCCGGGCAGCCCGAGGCTGGCCGGCTCCACAGTGGCTGCAGCAAGAGCAGCAGGCCCAGCGCCCCACATGGCCCTGGAAAAGAGGCGTCGCGGTCCTGAGCGAGGGCCCAGAGCACGTGGACCCTCTCCTTCAGTCTGTGCAGGCATGAAACCCCCAAAGGCCTACTGCCATGAAGCCAGAGTCGGAGTCACAGCCAAGCTGTCTTGGGCTGAGCAGAGCTTCCCTGCGGCGTCTCCAGCCTGCAAATGTCTGAGGGCACACCGCTTCATCTTTCTTTCCCCAAGTAGTTGGTGAATAAAACCCAAGCATCAGACCCACTGCGACTGCCGTGGGTTCGTTCCTACTGGTACTGCCCTGTCGGACAGGGAAGAACCGCCCCTCAGGGTTTTTGAGACTTTCAGCCTTTCTGGGAGCAGACAGCTGCATCTTTCTCCCAGGGTGTCAGCCCGAGGGCTGGTGGGGTTTAACTCCCGGCCTTGGGGTTAGCAGCTCAATGCTTTACCCACTGCACTACCATGGCTCCTTCCTGGAGAAAGTCTCTAAACCTGACTGACACAAGTTTCCCCCAATGACAGGAGCTCATCCCCACCGGGGCCAGCCCAGACTCACCTGCGCCCATGGCGAGAGGACTGTGGTCCAGTGCGCTCTGGAGTGCGAGAGAGCTGGAGAGCCGAGTGATAATACAGCCCTGCCCGGCCCCACACAGTGAACTGGCTGCTGCGACCACAGTGTGGCCACCACACCAGAAATAACTTGGAGGCCCCAGCTGAGACCATCGATAGAGCGCTATCTTTGGGGTAAAGGCCCTCCCAGCTTCCTCTCCCACTGGTTCCCAGTGGCACACAAAACACTCAGACACCAGTAGCGATGGTCACCAACATTGTTCCCTGTCACCAGGACAGGACGTGGCATTCACATGGAACAAAACGGAGTGTGGGAGAGAGGGCGGGGGATCATGCGGGAGGAGAGGGCGGGAAGCCAAGGGCTCAGGCTCTGGGAGTGACAGCAGGGACCCCCGTTTGTGTTGCTGGGGAGGAGGGGCTTCGAGGGGCAGTGGCCCTGCTGTCTAGGCATGGGAGGTCCCAGGATGGGGTCCCCAATTGCCCACTTCTGCAGTCTTTGGGCCCAGCATAGCATGGGAGAGCGGCTGAGCACCGGAGCCAGCTCAGCATGCTCCTTGTCCCCAGTCATTTGGAGAAGTTCCCATGGTTCCAGCTGCCCAACCCTTGGCTCTGGGATTCCTGGTGCAGGGGTGAGATGGTCAGGTAGAACCGCCCACTTAGGTACAAGTGGAATCTAGGCAGCAGGACCCCCAAGTCCGCTCTGCGGCAATGGGGCTGGGGTGGGGAAGTGACCAGGACCCTGGAACTCTGGCCCCCTTTTCTGTCTTGGTTTGCCCGTCTGAACAGGATGGGGATCCCCAACACCAGAGGGGGCTGGTTTTGGACTGTTGTCTAGGGCCCCTTGGAGGCAGATGGTGGGGGTGGGGAGGATGGGCACTGAGAATAAATTAGGGGTGGCTGGGGAATGTGGGCTAGTCCCTGGGCCAAGTAGGTAACGCTGTCCAGGATCCCGCCACTCAGAGATGGGGGTTAGGTCACGGCCAGTCTGATCCAGCAAATCCAAGGTCAAGTGTAGGAGTAGGAGGGGCTGGCCTAGGGATGAACTGTCTCTCCCTGGCGTCCTGAAGTGGGTTGGGGTCACTGGTCCTGCATTTGCTGCTTCATCTTCTGCAGCATCTCCTGCATGCGCCTCAGCTGTGGCGGGGCAAGTGCAGAGTCAGAAATGCCTAGGGAGGACCTTGGCCTTGCCCACCCTGTCCCCAGTCACACCCTGCCCCACCCAGCCCTTAACCCTTCCACCCGCCCACCTACCTCCTCATCCTTCATCCGGATAAGCTTCTCGGTCTCCGCATCAGGAGTGGGCAGCGGCAGGATGGGGATGGGACTCTCAATACGGCTGTCCTGGGTCAGTTTGCTGCGAGGCAGAGAGGGATATGGCTGTTAGGTGGCTCAGCAGCAGGCTGCAGGAGGCCTGGCTAACCCTCATCACTGCCCAGGCCCTGCCTTGCCCGATCCCATACACCCCGGACACAAGGCATGGGGGACCCTTTTGGAGGTAGGGCCACCACCCAGGCAGCTAGGGAGCAGTGCTGGGTTTGGCAATCTGGCGGCCAAGGCAGCAGGTCCATTTCCCGGGCTGGCGGCTCACCTAGTCATCTGCTGAATGCAGTGCGCTCGGTAGTTCTCGTAGTGCACGTCGCAAGTCACGTCCTTGAGGTCGTGCATGTGCGTGCGAATGAGCATGTTTCTCAGCTTCACGAAGTCGCAGTGCGCCTGGTTCTCCACTGCAGGGCAGGAGCAGGCGGTGGGTGGGGTGCTGGCAGGGTGTGCCTTCCCATCCTCAAGCCCATACCCCAGACCTGAACTCACTCACCTTCCACGATCCCCCAGGGGTATAGTCGTCCCCGGACCCGCTGCCCCTTGGCCTCCACCACCGTGTTGCTGCCGATCACCGCAAAGGGCACACTTTCCTGGCAGGGGGTGGATGCAAGGCCCACTCAGACAGTATAGATGCAATGGTTAATTGTGTACCCCAGGCGGCTCCCCGGTATCACCATCACCAGCCATCTCCCAGAAAGAGCTAATGCCGCCCTCCTCTTGGACCTTCAGCTGCCCCATGGAGACAGAACTGGTACTGCAGCTATGCTGCCGGCCTTTCCCAGACTCTCCCCCATTAGGCCGTCCACCCATCAAGAGCCACGGCCATGGGCTAGGCCACTGCCTCCTGGTACAGAGTTCCCCAGCTCTTTTGCCTGGGGCTAAGGGCGTTGTTCAACTCCTGGCTAGGTGGCCACCTGTCCTCGGGCCCCAGTGCACAGCCCCTCGGGGACTTGGAATTCTGGAAGCCACTGGGCCCTATCCCTTCTGCCCTCCTCCGGGTCATGTGTGGACAGGACAAAGTCCTCTGGTCACAGGTCTCTGCCCCTCCTGCCCACCTTCAGTTCCCGGTCCTGCTGCTTGAAATCCTCATCCTCATCTGAGTCACACTCAGGGAACTGGTACACATGGATCCCAAACTTGTCAATCTCCTCCCGGATCTGCAGCAGGGCAAGGGTGGTCAGAGTGGGGCCAGCCAGGTCCCCTGGATCAGGGTAGGAATGCCCCCAGGGTCAGTCCGCCTGGCATGCTTGGCTCTGGGGCCACGGGGCTCACCCGTTCCTTCAGCTTTCGGATCTCGCTGGGGACCAGACAGTCAGCCTTGGCGATGAGAGGCACGATGTTCACTTTCTCATGCAGTGCCTTCATGAAGCCCACATCTGCTGGCCGCAGCCTGCGGGGGAACAGCCATGGCAACAGTCAGCTCAGTGAGGGATGCTGGGGGAGTGCGGCAGGGACAGGTGCAGGGGACTGAGGACAGGGCACCGAATACACTCACCCATGCCCAAAGGGGGAGATGAAATACAGGCAGCAATGCACCCGGTTGTCCTGAATGTTCTTACGGTTTAGGCCGCTCTCATCCCGGAAATACTGTTCAAACTGCTGGTCCACATAGTCGGTGATGGGCTTCCAGCTGGGTGGGGGGCGGGGGGATGACAGTGATGGAGAAAGTGGGAGCCCTATTTGTAAGAGCTGCCTCACTGGCCTGGCTTGGGGAAAAGGGGGAGACTTGGTGGACCCCAGACAGGCCTTCCTCACCACTCGGAGTTGTTGACGGCATCCCCAAAGCCTGGCGTGTCCACAATGGTCAGCTTCAGTTTGACCCCCTTCTCCTCAATGTCCACTGTGTGCTTCAGGATCTCCACTGTCTGGTTGATGCGCTCTGCGGGTAGGGAGTGAGCATTGTTGGGGACCCTCAGACTGCCCCCCGCAGGCAGCCAGGACTCACTCTGTATCCATCCCAGGGTCATGGTCCCAGCTCAAGGGCCTGAGGCACTGTACCTTCTTCTGGGGCCCAGAGAAGGGATTAACAAGTGGTCAGGGAACCCTCTCCTCCACTGTGGGAGGTGAGGGCAGGGACCCTGGACCCTGGGTCACTCACCCTCTGCACTGAGCAGCTTCCGGTCCTTGTACAAGTCGGTCAGGAAGAGGCTATGAACCAGCGTGGACTTGCCCAGGCCGGACTCACCTGCCCATGGGCATAGCGAAGGGCTCAGGTTAGACCTGGGGTCTCCACGATTGAACCTGCTTAGCAGGCTGCCCCAGCCACCCACCCAGACCCTGGCCCACTCACCTGCCACCATCAGTGTGAAGTCAAAGCCCTTCTTGACGGACTTGCGGTGCACCTGGTTGGGCAGTGTGGCGAAGCCCACGTACTGCTTGTCGAGGTCCTGGGGTGGGAGCAGGCCATGTCAGGGGCCCTCTAGGCCCCCATGAGCAGCCCACATCCTCCCCCACCTGGCCTGGCTGAAGAGCCAGCGAAGGGCACATTCCCTGGGCTAGAGTACTTTGGGGCAGAGGCCTGTGTGCAGGAACGTAGAGGTAGGCAGGCACCCCTGCTCTGCCCAACCTCAAAGAGGGGTTCTGCAGGGCCCACAGGTTTGTGCGCATGTGTGTGGGGAGTATCAAAGGAGCACCCTCCTTTCCCACGGTGGCCACTGCAAGGTGCCCAGTCAGAGACCCTCACAGGCACGTCAGAAGGCCTTACTCACCCCTCCCAACAGCACCAAGGGGTGGGAGGCCCCAGCTGGCCCCAGTCCAGCAGCGGGGGCAGCTCTGAGACACAGAGGCTATTTATAGACAGTGGTGCGCTATCTGGGCCTCCTCCACCGGCAGGTTCCTAGCGCCCACCCCCCTCGGACCTTGGTCCTTGTCACGCCAGAGCTCACGGACCCTGGGGTCGCAGAGCCCAGGCTAGTGCCCACACATGCTTATCCACATCTCCCACCCCCACACACCTTGAGCCGCCTCTGGGCCTGGGTCCGCGGTGACAGCAGCTGCGCTACCAGGTGGTCTGGGGGTGCAGCCAGCGAGTCCATCGCGGCGACCCTCCCTCCCTGGAGTCGACCGGTCCAACCTGAGGCTGGGGCAGGTCGACGCAGACCCGCCGGTCCCAGGGAATGCTGCCCTGACCCTGCTCTCGCCCCGTTTTATGGACGCAGGAACTGAGGCCCAAAGAGAAAACGTCGCCCACCTTGGATGCTACCGACCCTAGTGGTCCTGAGAGCCATACCCAGCCCTAGCGGCGTGCCCAGCCCGGCCGGCCCCGCTCACGCACCCCGATCCAAGGCGGAGCTTCGCGGCGCTCGCCAGGCGCGCGGGTGGAGGGCAGCAGCGGCCCGCCCCGCGCCGTCGCCAGGAAACTGTCGCCTAGAAATGGGGCCGCAGGCGGAGCCATTCGGAGGCTGTGCGGAGGGCAGGGCTACGCCAAGCTTGGGGGGTGGGGTGCGGCACAGAGTGTCCCGAGGCTCTGTCCGAGCGCCCGGAGAACTCGCCGGGCGGAGAGGATGGTCCCACGGGCCGGCCTGGGCGGGGTGGGGTGCAGGGCCGGTGACCGCCGCGTGTGCCTCCCTCCAGACCTGCGACGCGGCTTCCGCCCGCCAGAGAGCGCCAGAGAAGGGCGTCTTGGGACCCACGGGCCTCCAGGGCCCCGCCGCGCGGGGATCGCCCCCAGCCGCCAGCCTCTCCTCGCCAGCTCGGCCTGCAAACCTCTCGGCTGTGTCTCACTGTCCCCACTTCCCACGGACAACCCCTCTCCGCACAGCCCCACCCCCACCCCCCTGCTTCTGCTTGCGTGCAGTGTGTGTGTGTGTGTTAGCGCGCGTCTGTTTCTGTTTGGAGGATTCTTTCTCGACGTGACTGCAGAGGTTTGTCGAGAAGCGGGGCGACCTCAGATCCCGGCCAGCGGCAGCTGGACCAAGGACCACGAGATCTCCCCCACCAGGCTCTCAACCTCTGGAAATTTGGAGGCAGCTTCCTAACTGGCTCAGCCAACCCGCCAGACACTCACAGACCGCCGGCGCCGCCCGGCCACCCATACCGCTGGGCAGACAGAGGAGTGGTGGTGGAGGTAGGGTGGGCCTGACTCCCTCTCCCATGGGCCCCTTGGCGGGCACCACTACATTTCCTGGCCTGCTCTGAGGCAAAAAACCCAGTGGGTATGTTACTCCAGAAGGGGACCCTTAGGCTGGGGCTCCCAGGAGCAAGAGTTCCAGTACAGGGACCCAAGGTGCCTCTCCTAAGCTCCAGTAAGTTTTCCTCTGCAGGCTGCCAAACCCTAGCTCCCCTGTCCCTCCCCCAATCCCAGCCACCCAGCACCAGGGAGCCTGGAAAGGGACTCTGGCCAGGCGCTGGGAGTGACATGTGAAATCAGTGGACGGGCAGACTTGCTCCCTGGCTCCTTCTTTGCCCCTCCTGTTCTTCTCTGGGCCCCATGGTCACAGCTTGGTGCCCAGAGGCTGCTGGCACCTGGGGAGCAGGGGCTGGCCCACAGCTGGGAACAGGGACCTTTTCATTCTGAAGGTGTGGAGGGCAGCCCAGCCTGTCCCCTGGAAGCCTCCCAGTAATCTGCCAGGAAGCAGCTGGGAGGGGCAGCCCACTTGGCTCCCACCCTAGACTGCCTCCCTTAGCCTCGCCCCCACCTTGATGGCTAAGCATCTCGAGGGATGGGGTTCAGGGCGGAGGGACCCTCAATATCCGACATTCTGGTGTCTAACAGAGAACCCGTTTGCTTTCAGATTGCCTCGGTATCCCCATTGGAAGGCACAGCTTCTTAAGGAGGATGGCTTTCTATGTCTTGGCCTAGGTCAGGAAGGCAGGAGCGGCCCTCCCAGCTCCAAACCTGCCTGTCCTATCATTCCTCAGGCCCAGCCAGGGCCTGTGGGTGCATTGGGGGAGCTGCAGGAATGCACCCCCCTACCCCTGTCCCTCCATCCTCTGGTGCTCCTCAGAGATTCCCTGCCTCTGACAGCCACACCCACTCCTACAGCCTGTGATCCTCAGCAGAATCCCACCACTGCCTGAGACAGCCACAGTGGTGACTCCATCTCTTCCCGAGGGGCTGGGTGGCCCATAGACAACCCACAGAACCCTCCTCACACACACTGCCTCCACTTCATGAGGGGTGTGTGTGTGGGGGCAGGGCATGTCCTCCCCTGTGACTGAACAGCCCCCTTCACAGGCTGAAACTCAGGACAAAAGTGGTCACATCACAGCCATCACGAACTCTGCACTCCCCACCTGCACCGGCAGCATCTCTGGCTTGGATCAGAAGCTCCTCCCCTGCCTGAGGCATTTTCTCCCTGTAGCCCAGGAGGCAGGCTGCTCCTCAAGGGAGCAGCAGACACAGACCTGCAAGGGCTTCCACCTCTGCTGAGAGGGTCCCTGTCCCCAGCAGTGGACAAGACAAAAGAGCCTGGGCAGTGTTGCACAGCCCTGCCTGGGCCCTGAGCCTCAAAGCTCAAGGCTCCAGCAGATTGAACTTGGAGCACCAGCATTCCCAAAGAGGCCCATGAGGAGGGGACCAGTCCCAAGCCCCAGCTCCTCAAACAATAGCCTAGTGCCTGTGTGTCCCTGCATCTCAGATAATTGCCTGAGCTATTCCCCATGGGAAGGCATCTCCTGGCTGGCTTCCTGGGGAAGGCCTGGCTTACAGGGCAAGGCTGATGGGGCCCGTCCCAACAGCTCCCCCAGCCCCAGGATGGGGTGTGTTCCTGCCTGGAGAGTAACGACAGGTGGCCAGGGACTCTGGGCTCCCACTCCACCTGCTATACTGTTCCTGCCCGACTGCCTGCCTTGCCTTGGGTCACCAAGCATCCACCTGGGTATAAAACCCTCACTTCCAACAAGGGCTATCCTGGTGGCTCTTTTGTCCCCTTCACCTGATAGAGCTCAAGCCAGAGAGGTGGCCAGCAGGGTCATCTCAAGAGAGTTCCCCATCTCCCCACGCTGAAGGTCTCACAGTTTGGTGTGCCTTCACTCCGCTGGGTGTCCACCGTGGGTACCCTGCCAGTGTCACCAAATTTTGCCTTCGGAGAGGGATGTGCCAGGCCAGCTCCTCTGGGGAGGCCACAAGCTTACTTGCACCCCTGGGTTCAAGGTCCTGGGCTGGTCATAGGATGACTCAGACTGGGCTCTGAAGACACCCATCTGGGGAAGTCTTGCTGCAGAACAGCTGTGATCTGTGGTATACAGCTGCAGGGGGTAGGGTGGGAGTGGGTGGGGTTAGGCTGGCCAGTAGCTCCTCTGGGAAGCTACTCAGGAACTGCCCACTAACTGATAGACTCCAGGCCCCTCCCCCAGCCAGGCCCAGGTCCCCAGTGCCCGCCTACAGGCCAGGTTAGCAGAGATGGCTGGAGCTGAACGAGCGCCCAGGGTGGGCAGGCACCCGCTCCCCTTCCCATCCTAGATAGCACTCTGAGCCCTGCACTCAGATCAAGCGTCCGAGCACCCCTACCCGGCGCAAGGGGTCCAATCCCCACTCCCAAGCCTCAGGCGCGCCCAGACTGACAATCCGGTTTACCACAACAGGGCGGCGGGGGCGGGGTCGCGCCTGGGCGACCGTGATATTCATGCCACAATGGGTGACAGCCAGTCCGGGTCTGGCGACAAGCGGAGCGACAGCACACACGTACCTGCTTGTCCTCCACTGGATCGGATCCGGGTCCAGGTTCGGGTCCGGGAGGGTCCGGGCCGGCGGGCGTGGGAGAGAAGGAGAGACACGGTGAGAAGCCGACGGGCAGGCGCGCAGGCGGGCGGCGGGGACAAAGGCGAGCGCGCGGGCGCGCGGCGG